GGGCGGCGCTGCTGCAGGGTCCCTTGGCTCCTTGCCGATCATGACATAGGACAAGCCCCCGTGGGACGGCCGGGCGGGCGGTGGGCAGGCTTTGGGGGGCGGGAAGGGTGTGTCGTGGATCGAGATGGATGATGGGTGAAGTGATGGATGACGGAGGATGGAGACTGAGGGACGGGCGGGCGGGCGGCTGCACGTTTTCTGTTGCGGTACGCGTATGGATGTGGGTTGGGTATGGACGTGGACTGACGGGGTGATGGGGGCTGAGGATTATACCTAGGATGAGGTTCACGAGAAGAGGCGGCGAACTTGACACCGCAAGGCATGTAGGCACAGACACAGGCAGCGCCGCCCAGCAGATACCTACCTACCCGCGTTGTCTACTCGAGGCCGGCATGTGAAGATCGCATGTCTTTTTCTCATTGTTGTGCGTTCCTGGGAGATGCCTCGGCGCGTTGGTTCAGTTTATATTCACATTCTCACACGAGCCTGCAATCCGGCATCTCAGTGCCGTGAACATCCCCCACGCCGTCCCGGGACAAGTAACAAAAAAATCAGCTGTTGTTGGGCGGGTGCATGGCACGCCTTTGCCGTCTTAGCCATCTACGAATATGAAGAACGCCTGAACACGCTAGTGGGGTTCTTTGATACAAATATTGCGGCAAGCCACTGCCGGCGGGGGGGATGGGAAAGGGGTCCCAAGGCAAGAAAAAGGGGGCTGAAGATCAACGGGAAAGCATGTGCGTGCGTTGCCCGTTATGCCCGTTGTTCGGTCTCGCTGGTGTTGTAGCAAACTTCCGCTGACTTGGGGACGAAGTGTGGCGGTCTGTTGGGCGGGAGGGAGGACTGGATTTGGCAATTGGCACTGTGTCCGGCAGTGTCGGAGCCGGACTCGAAGCCTCCAACACCACCACGACCTACCACCTACCACCACCACCACCACCGCCACGACGGCAGCAGCAGCAGGAGCAGCAACACCTTTTGGTTTCTGGCGCGCCCTGGCTGGCTGGCTGGCTGCGTGCCTCGGCTTCCAGCTTCCACCCGACTTGAGGCTGACCAGAAGCAGAACCAACAGCGTGTCGTAGCCAGGGGTCAGAGAGCCTCTTGTTCCCCCTGTGTGTGCTTGTCGGTAGGCAGCTCCATCACCGAAAGTCACATATGTATTTGCGGCTGCAGCTGAGGGAGATGGGACCCCTAACAAAACAGGCCGGAACGAAACGGACTTTGAGCAGAGTGCCGTGATGCCGGCCGGGAGCGTGTGCCCGACCTGGGGGGGGGGGGGCCATGGACATGGACATGGCGTCCGGAAGCGCAGGAAATGAATCTGGATGCTGAAAATGCAACGCCATTCTGTAGCGCCGCGACGACGGGACGCAAAGCAAAGCCAAGTCAAGCACCCGGCTCACTAATCGCTGTGTAAGGCTAGCAGCGGAGCTTGAACCCGAGCAAAATTTCCCTCTCCCTCCTTTTTGTCGGCTAGGAGGAGCACACGCCAATGTCTAATGCACGCGTGCTTGCAGAGTAATATCCTGGCCATGATGGCATATCAAAGAAAGGTCAAGCAAGGGTGTCGCTGGCTTTGTCACGTCCCTGGAAGCCGTCATTGCGGCGGCGGCGCGTCCGGAGCTGGACAAGGGTTGTGAGGGTGGCACGGGAGTGGAGGCGAGACGGCTTTCGTAGGCGCCGACAAGCCGACCGAACCGGGCCGCATGAATTGAAATGCCCATGGCCCGTCGGTCGGGCGCGAGAGCGACACGTCTTCAATAAAGACGCGGAACGCGGGTGGAACCGCCTTCTGGGTCCCCGGATAGACTCATGCCAGCTGCCTAGCTATTGTTAGTATTTATTACTGGCGGGCTGGTTTAGTTATCCGTGTGAGCCATTGCTCTGCGAGATGTGAGTCGAGGGAAAAAGTGGTGTGCTTGTTTCCGTCCGTCTTCAGGCTGAAGGAAGAGAGGGAGAAAAAAAAAAGGATGACGTCGCCGGGGCGGCCGACGCTGGGGCTTGCCGGGATGCTGGGGTCTCGGCGCCTGGAACGTCATCTTTGTATGTGTGTGTGTGCGTGTGTGTGTGTGTCCGGTCTCAGCCCAGGACAGCTTGTTTGTTCCCACTCGTGCCCCCCCCCCGGCTGGCGGCGCGCACTGTGTGCCGTGCCGGTGCTGCTGCTGCTTCAGCTACGGGACTGACCTTGCCTTGATCGACCACTCTTCCCGAATTTGCACCACCACTATCAACCACGACGACGTTTAAACCTCCCGTGTCTCAGCTCTCTTCTCCCCATACCACCGACGAATCTCCCCAAAGAAGCGACGTTTTTGTCCAACCACTCACCTCTTTGCCTTTCTCCTCTTACGCATTAGTGAAGAAGCACGAGAGTTCTCTCTCCCGTGTGTGTGTGTGTGTGTGTGTGTTTTCGCCACAGTCGCAAGACAGACGAAGCGAGCTCCTGGCGACGATAACAACAACGGCTACGACAGCGACGACGACGAGCAACATACACACCTCGAGGCGCAACGCATGGATGGCGCGCACACGATCCCGCGACTCGAATTGACCTCCCGCACGCGCCGCGCGTAGAGTCGCCACCTCTTCTTCCTCCTCCTCCTCCATCCCCCCCTCGAGGGCCCGGCCGAACACACGGACCAGACGATGCCCGAGGTCCGCCGCGGGAGCCTGCACCTGCAGTCCGACCCGGCGCTGGCCAACGGCCTGGGCATACGGACGAACAGCGGCGGCGGCGGTGGAAGCGGCCCTGACCGGCCTGTCGTCGATACCGATGCCGCAGCGGCCGACACCGCCGACCATGTCGCCGACACAAACACCACCACAACGAACAACAACAACAACAAGCCCGCGCCCGGCAGCGCCGGCGACGCACGGCGCGACGTGAGCTTCAGCGACGTGCCCCCGCCGCGGCTCGCCCACCTCACCTTCCCCCACCTCTCCGCCGACGACGTGCCTCCCCGAGCCGGCACGGGCCCGGGCTCCGGCCGCCCCGCCGGCAGCGCCACGGCGCCGACGTCGCCCATCTCGCCGGGCAGCCTCGCCGGCCCCAACAGCAACAGCAGCGGGCAGCAGCAGCAGCTCCCGGGCTTCGGGCGGCTGAGCGTCGACGCGCCCCGGCGCAGCCTCTCGTACGCGCTGCGCCCGCCCGCCCCGGCCTACTACGACTCGCGCGCGGCGACGCGGCGCGAGTGGCAGCGCCGCGGGCGCACCCTCGAGGAGTACTACGACGACAACCCGCAGCTGCTGCCCCAGCTGCCCTTCACGTGGCACCACGGGTGGCGCCGCTGGCGGCTCTTCATCTTCGCCTTCCTCGTCTTCGTCGACGCCTCGGCCCTGCCCATCGCGCTGTACTACGGCCTGCACTACGCCGGCCACGTCGAGGGCTGGATCATCTTCGCCGTCGTCACCACCATCTGGGGCGGGCCCACGTACCTCGAGTTCGCCATCCGCACCCTGCGCCTCATCAAGAAGGAGCGCTTCTACCGCCCGCTCGGCACAGACAGCCGCTGGTGCTTCGACATGCTGACCTGGGTCTCCGTCGTGACCATCACGGCCGTCACGGCGCTCTTCGTCGTCGGCAGCGCCCCGCACATTGTCTGGCTGCGCGTCCTGTGCATGCCCGCCCCGGCGATCTTGTACTGCCTCGGCGGCTCGCTGCTGCTGATTACCCTCTTCCACGCCATGGGGTGGCCTGCGCCGTTTCGCATCAGCTCGACGGCCAAGGGCGAGCCGGTATGTTGAAACCCAAACCAAACCCAATCCGCCGATATATAGATATATGCCCCTCCCTCGTGGGCAAAGCATATGCTGACCGTCGTCCGTTTGCGAAACACCAGGTCCACCCCGGCGTGTACTATTTCATCGAAGACGTCGTGGCCGTCAACGCCGGCGCGGGCCGCCCCTACCGCGAGGCCCTCGCGGCGCGGTACCGCGCCAGCCCGCGCTTCCGGCGGATGCTGTACGTGCAGTCGCTCTTCTGGTCGATCCCCGCGCTCCTGCTGGCCGCGCCCCTGACCGTCATCGCCGTCATCCACCCGGTGCCCGCCACGGCCGCGTACGGCGTGTGCTGGGCGGTGCCCTTCCTGTGGTGCGCCCTCTGGGGCGCCATCTCCGTCTGGTGGTGCAAGCGCGACATGGTCCGCGAGCGCCTCGAGTGGGAGGCCGACACCACGGGCATGCTCGGCGGCGGCGGCGGCGGCAGGACGGCGGCGGACGCGGATGCAGATTCAGCGGCGACGGATGCGGCCATGCGGGAGGCCAAAGAGGAGGCGAGCCCGGCGCGGAGCGAGACGGCCGGCACGGGGGGCAGCGGGAGCGCCGGCGGGACGGCATGACGAGGACGAGCGCGCGCCTGAAGCCGCGAAGAAACCTGCGTAAATTTAGACGATGGAGGGAGGACGTGGGCAAGGGCGAGGGCGGGTGACGACGACGTCGACGAGCGCACGTAAAAAAGGCCCGCCATGCGTGGTAAAAGGGTGGGCGAGGTGCAAACTTGGGATATTTCGACACATGGATACCTCTAGCGACAACGGCAACAGCAGCAACAACAACAACAAAGAAGAAGCTCAGGCACATCATCAACATCATCATCATCATCAGCGCATGTACCACAAATATTAAAGAACCAATTTTTTTAATACTTCGGCCGTGTACCCCCTCTCGCTTCTGCGAACGCGTGTCGTTTGCGGCGGTCGCTGCTGCTGCGGCTGCTCCGCCACCGCTCGTCTTGCCCATTCAAGCGCAAGCGAGCATGCGCGTATTATTATTACTACTCCTCCTCCTTCTCGTCAAGTCCACCGGGGGGACGGGGGCAAGGAAAGGAAACGGAGCGCGCGCACGCGAGAGTCTACTACAGCTCCTATTTGTTATTTGTCACGCCAAGGGTCGTCGGTCTTTCCCCCTCCCTCCCTCTCTCCGTTCCTCCCTCCGTCCCTTCCGGCCGGCGGCCCATCACCGAGGAACTGCTGCGCACGCGCACGCGGTCATTACTTTGCGGGTTTTCCCCCCCGCGGAGTGCAAGTAGTAAGTAAGTAATAGGTAAGGCCGGCTGCGCCCTGTCAGCACGCGTGGACGCGAGCACGCAAGCGAGCGAGCGAGCGAGCAAGTGGCCACCGGCCGCCCTCTGGGACACGAGCTATACGCGTGTAAATGAGGCGTCTACCGGGCTCCCTGGGTTAGGCAAGGTGCCGCGCCGGGCGAATTTATGAGCAAGCGAGAGGCATTGCATTGGCGAAGGGCGTCAATGGGCGTGATTGAGGGCACAAAATAAGAAGAGAATGACGCTGGGAATGCATCGCTTGCCTCCCTCACAGCACCGGCGGCGGCGGCGAAGAGAGTGTATCTCACTGCAGGGAAACCCTGGGTTGTGACTTCTTTCTGGAAGAAAATCCAGAAGAATTCTCCCCCAAAGAAAATTTTAAAAAAGCATACCAGGCCGACAAATGAAGAAGAAAAGCCAAATTACGGGCAATATGGAGAGTCCCGGAGCACGAGATGCCCCCGCTGTCGTCATTCGTTGTGTCTAAAAATTGCCCGTCTGCGCCGCACGGTCATCGTCTGCCTCAGGTTGATTCGACAGCCCGCATCTCCCACGCGTGAACCCCCACGATGCTGCAACGGTGAGGACGACGACCACCGAGGACGGCTGTCGACGGCAATGGGTGCCCCATGTCTCCTCTGGCTACGGTACCCGGAGGCGGCCATGCCTGGAGTGCTGAGGGACGGACGGCCATGCGTCCGGTGTGTGGTGCAAATCATGCTCATCCATGCCCGTGCCCATGCCCATGCCCATGCCTGTGTCCATACCCATGTGGAAGCTCCGATGGGGACGCGGGATGCGGACGCTTACCCTGGCCTGGACGATGCCCTCCTCCCCCTGCCTGCCTGGGGCACCATGGCACCCCGTGCTGGCCGGTGGCCGTGGGGGCTCCCAAACACACAGGCAGAGTTGGTCAATGCATGGGATGCTCTGCTTCAGCATGCGCCTCGCAGCTGTCAGTTGATTATTGAGGAGACCGGGTATGGCGTGATGTCACGTAGTCCGTGCTGGCCTCGTGGGAGCACCAGGTGGGATGCGAGCCTCGTCTCATAGGCAGGGGTGGGCGGCGTGCGTCATTGCCATCGTTTCAACTGACGCGCGACACTCGTCGACGACAAATACACCAACAGCATCAAACGGTGAGGCGTAGTGGTGGTACGGGGACGGATCCTCCCGCCCCATCGCACGTTGAACGATATAGACAGGATGACGATGATGGACCCGCGCGAGCTATTTTCAACGTGCTATAGCATGCAGACATGTGATCAATCTGTCGAATGGGGGGAGAAAGCGTTCAACAGCAAACGCCCACCAGCTCGGTGCATGGTCAAGTGGGCTCGACCGCTCTCTGGATCTGGAGCAGGGCAAACGTGCAATGGACCGGGCCAGCAGCGCAGCACATGCGCAATGTCGGCTTGCGGCCAGCTCTAGATCTTGGTACGCGGCCGCTAGAATGGCATCAGTGCCGACGCCATTGCAGTAGTAGTACGAAGGTAGTAGTAGTCCGGTTCAGGGAACCCGAGCGCCGGAGGAAGAAAACCCAAAATAAAAGAGGAGACCGGTGGAAGCACGGCGGAAGCAATGGATCCCACGAGTCTGCGCGCGGCACGTCGGCGGCGGAGGCGCGAGGCCGTCGTGATCGGGCCGCGACATACTCGTAGGTCTGTGTCTCGCAGCAACCGCGTCTTTTGCGTTCCCACGAGGCTCGCACAGGGCATCCAGAGGGGGGG